TTTTTTCCGAATGAGTGAGTAGACTGAACACCTGAAGCCCAGCAACAGCACCAAAGCTGCCGCCTGCAAGCGCACCAGGCAGGCACCTTCCCCTTTCGGCAGGCTAAAGGACAGGGGGAGGTGTTCCCAGAGGAGCAGTACCGGCTCTGCCGACCAGAGCCCCCGGAGGAACAGCGTTCTTGAGAAATGGGCAAGGTGCCGGACCTTGCCGCGGTTGGGCGAGATCAGCCTGACCCCACCCAGGCTGCAAAATGCGATTCCCCAGAACTGATGCAGAAAAGGAAACTGTAAAGGTGCCTCCAAAAAACCTGCTCCTAAGCAGTGCGACAGCACCGACTGCAGAGACTGACATTCGCAAAGCAAGTCCAAAGGCTAACAGGGATTATCACCACCTACGCGCAGCCGACTGATAGGCAAATGCAAAATTAATGCTTTCTTCTTAAGAGATCGATACTGTCTTGCTAACATTAACATGCAGAGCCCATTTTAAAAAATAGAACGCGACAGAAGCAGAGGCTGAACAACCAATTTCAGACTCTTGATGCTGGAAGACAAAATGTTGCCTTCAAAAAGTCAGACCAAATGAAGAGCCCAAGCCACAGAACCTCAGCTGAGTTCAGTTACCCTCTAGCCCAGCCCTCATATCTGGAATAACATGTCCAAAACAGCCTGCCAGCATCATGAATCGTCACAAAGAAAATAAACATTTACTCCAGGAACTTTTTTCCGTTTTATGAGCTGCAAATGCATCTACAACTCCACACATACATACAGCGCAGGGCAAACGCTGAAGAAGAGGTAAATTTCCACCTCTACCTTCTGCTGCCTTTGGAGACACACACAATGAATCATCTGCTGCAGATTCAAATCAAGAGAGTGTTCAAAAAGGGGCTGTTCTGGTGTTACGTTGCTCTTCCGGCTCATCTCAAAACCCAGCAGCAATGCCTCCTTTAAAGCTCTAATACAATACTGGAAATCTCAGCATCTAACAAGCCTCCCACAAGTTTGGTGACAAGAGTCCCCAGTAAGGGATCTCCTCTGATCCAAGCCTTATGTGGGAGCGTGTGTTCACACAGAGCGCCAAAACAATATGCAGATACACATCATATCTGCAGGTCGATTCTCCAATTCTGACCTCAGGACACAACAATTTCCATTCAGAACTTGTTGTAGGCATCCATGGAGTTATGTCAGGAGCAAATGTGGCCTGGCCTCGGATAAATTCTCACCTGAAGACGGAAGGGCCAAGATGCAACAAGCTAAGCTTGGCCAGACCCACGCTACTTTGGATGCCCATGCGTTCCTGCAAGAGTTCCTGCTGCTCTCTAGCTACCCCATGGTCTGGAAAAGTATTAATGAACATGTTCACGCTTTCCCTTGGCCACTGGGCTTCTTCTCTGCAATGACTGCAGGAGGGAAGAGCAGAAAGCCTTGCAAAGCATCCTCTGCATCTGATCCAATCCTACGAATGGGTGCAGTAAGCGCACTAGGACAACTGCCTCCTTTCTCTTGCTCAAAGCATCTATTTGGCCAGAAGTACAATGTTACTGACTTAGGGTAAAATTCTTTTCACTGGAGCTATGACAATATCCACCACCTTTTCTCAGCCTGTTGTGTAAATAAGGGACTTTTGTAATATCCTGTGCAGAAGCCGAGCATGGGAAAGCCGCCCTGACATAATGTAATGAGCGCTGACCACACGCTTGCTCACGTACCCAGCCTACTGACCTCAGACTGGTATGCCTTTGGTTCCAGCCCTGGATTTAAGCAGGCAGAGGGGAAAGGGCAGAGCTTACCTTTAAATAATGTAAGTTCTCACAAAAGCATTGCTAATTTGCACAGTTATATCGACCAGCAAAATTATTATGGTTGGTCTGTTCTCAAATGCCCCAGCTCAAGGAATCATGTGAATGCGAAACGTTTGGTTTCATGTAATGAAAAGTTCATTTCCAGCCTTCGTCTTAAAAACAGTATTAGAAGGGCCTTCATATAACCACCTAGTCCACCTCCCTGCCCTGAGGCACACCAGCTAAACTCCATTACTCCCAAGAGATGTTAGCCCAGCTGACCCTTAAACACCACCACTGTGGTTCAACAGTTTGCTTAAGCCTCTGTTCGGGCATTTCATCGTACTAACCAAATACTCGGGGGGAGGGGGGAAAAAACCAACTTAAAAGACAAGTTTCCACACGCACCTTGAAGTATTAAAATAGCAGAAAGCAAGGAAAGAGAAGTTATTTTTTTGTACAAAACATGGTTTTAAAGTCAGCTTCACGATCTCTGTGAACCCAAGCGGTGCTTTTAGAAGACGTGGGGTTGGCAGATTCACAAATCCCTCACTTCAATCCCCAAGCGCTCATTGCACTAATAAAACACAGCTTCTCACTCAGACCCGCAGGATCCCATCTACCGTTTATCCACCCAAAGTTCCCCCTGCATCCAACAGATGCACCTGCAGCACTTCAAGACCACCCACAAGATTCAGGGGTTTTCTCTCTCCTGCTTCAAACCAGGGGCAAAGCTGCTGAAGGGCACCTCAGGATGGAGACCGAGGATTGTGAGTCTTCTGGACATGCTTCCAAGAACAAAGCCTTCTCCAGCTCACTTCTGAGCCTGCCCTTTCCCCCACGTCATGATGGAGCCCTTGGGTCCCCAGCCTTTCCACCACTGATGCTGAAGGAAACAGTCGTGCAGTGGGAACAGGAGGAACAAAAGGGGCCCAGCCTGTGTGTTAGAGAATAACCTGAATAATAAGTAACTCAAACACCATCTGCAGGATTTTATACATGAACAAAATAACACTTCCCAGAAGAGATTCTAGAAACAGAGAGCAGAGCATAGAGGGGAAGACGGTGTCCCTGAAGACCCAGCCAATTAACGTTTCAATAAAATTTGGCCTTTTTACCAGAACTCCAGTGCTTGCTTTTTACCAGAAATGTTCCTGGAGATTTATTTTCCTTTCGCTGGCTAATTAACTTGTCCAGATATTTCCTCTGCTTCTATGTGATTTTTAGGACAGACTCAAATTCAGATGTTTCTCCTCCCTTGCACCTCTGAGGTCTGTCACACTTGGCAGAAGGCAGCACAGCGTCAATCAAGCTGTGTCCTGGGAAGACCTGGATCTGAAGGAGCTGCTGGCCCCAGGGAGTTGTTTCTGCGCTGACCACACTCAGCTCAGCCCAGGCAGCTCTGCACTCCCCTGCAACTCAGCGTACCTCTTGCTAGCTGCCTCATGGAGAGCTAAAGATTATTAAAATGAATAATTATCCCTGCTTTTGAACCCCCAGCCTCCAACAACAGAGGTATCAATTAAAAACTTAACCTTTTCATTTTATTTCATTAAATAACGGTAAATGGCTTATTCTACTGAGCCCTCCTGCAGCCTTTTATGTCTAAATGTTGCACTACAAGGCATAAATGGACTATGCATATTCACCTCTTCCAAATTAACACCTGCACATGCAGAACAAGATCACCGTTGACAACGTTAGCACAGCCTGAATTCACGAGGGCTCTTCAGTTCTTTGCTGTATTTACCTTTATGTGATTAAGTACCTAATTACATAGTCAGTGCTAAGAGCCAGGGGACGAAATTCAGAGCTTTTATAATCAAGGGGAGTTCTGCTCAGGTCATCCACCCAGACAAGGTCTGAGCTTGACTTTACACCTCATTTCCACAAAGATTGATTTGCTAACACGGTGACAGATGGGCCGCTCGCTGTAAGAGGACACCCAGTGTTTGTCTTTACACAGTGTCTGTTTGGCTATAGGGACACGCAAAGCACAGTTTTCATGATGGTACTAACATTAGATGACTGGAAACAACAGCCCTGGGGATCGTTTTTAGGCAGGGTAAGGCGTGACACTCAACAGGAGACCAAACACCACCATCTTTCCCGAACAAGGTGGTAACCATTTTCTCTAAGCGCGAGAACATAACTGTCTCTGTGTGCTCAGGAGCAAAGTTCAGTATCCAAGCAGCTAATAACCTCAACAGACCACGCATGGACAAGAGCCAGAGAAAGGAGAGGGTTAATAGATATACTGTACTGCCTGAAATGGATACAGAGAACCCCAGAAAATACCACGCACCAGGTTTATTCCACTCCTCTACCCCTGGGTTACCATGTTACGATACGGTCTCGAGCGCACGGTCGGTGTTGGTACGGAGAAGCCGTCTGCCCTCGGCAGAACACCCATCTCCCCAGGCACCACCACAGCAGGGTCCTGCGGTTTGGCACTGGGTGAGTCAGAAAAGAGCAAACGCGCCAACGGTTTTTGGCATGGAAACGCTTCCACTGAAAGCTGCAAGAGCGAGTTGTCGTTTTCAAGGCAACACCATTTCATGTTTAACAGGCAAATCTACTCTGAAAAGGAGCATTGAAAACTGGCACTTTCATCCCTCCCAGACACACTCCTCAGGTATATTTAGTATTGTATTCACAGGTTCAGATGATAAAAAGCAAATCTGTATTCTGCTGCCATGGGAGAAAATGTCTGATTCAACTTCTGTCCCCTCCTTTCCCCAAGACCAGGCATCACAATATTTTTTAAGTTAGAGACCACCCAAGCTTTTGTAACAGAAACACATTTAAAAAAAAAAAAATCACACATTAAAAACAAACGCC